ATCACTGTCCTTGAAGGAAATCTGGAGGGCAAGCACAGTGCAGACCACCCCAGCGCAGCACCCAGTAAACCAACTATAACACGTATCACTGCTGTGCAGACCACAGGATGTTTAGGCTGCTGATCCCAAACAAGCTGCCAAAAAGGCATGGATGCTGCACTCACCTCTGCAGCAACCCTCCCAGGTCCCACCTCCAGCCCCATTGAGTTAGCTGTAACTCAGGATAAAACCATATATCTAGGGAAAACTCCAGCAAAACCAAGTAGAGCAGCCTTAATGCCCAGCAGCACATGCACCAAGAACACACTCTGCCCTGTGCCCTACTCTCTGCATACACCCCCTTGCAAGTGCAGCTTCTGAGCCACGGTCCCCTCCAGGCCTAGCACACCATGGGATGGGGCCCAGGCCCTGCAGATATGTCCTGCTCCAGAACACCGTCTCCCAGAGTCACAGCATTCAGCAGAAATCACAAAATCACCAGGGGAGGTTCATAAGTGCAGGAAACACAAATGTCACAGGTGCTCAACCTGAGCCATGTGATTCCCCACCAAGGAACAAGCACAACTGTGACTCTTGATGTCTGCAGGGGAGAAGAGAAAAACTTTTTTCTGTGGGGCAGCTTCCTACTTGCAAGCTCTTCAGGCAGACACACTGCTCTCATCCCTGCCCTGTACCACCCCATGCATGGTTGCTCTGCAGTAGCCACACACATGCTAAGCTCTACCTTGCTCCACTCACCCTGCCATTATGCATCCCCACTTGGGAAAACCTGGCATGCACCATCCATCATCACTATCACCTCACACACCTGTGCCACTTACCCTGGATGAAAATGGTCTACTGCCTGGCTGTTAATATCACCAGAATACACTTTTCCAAGGAAAGCCTCACACAGAGCTCACAACTACTGTTATGGCAGAGTTTAAGTTATCTAATGACCTTAATAGAGGTAATGGGATGCCACTATAAAACGCATGATTGCAATGTTGGACACAATGAGATGCACTCTTCAGCAACTCTCAGCTCTGTTCATAGCAGCTCCAACCTGATTTTAATTCCCTCAAGTCTCTCTCAGGGCAGCTGGAAGAGACCCTCTATTAACACCCTCAGCAGGGTGGGGCCACAGAGGGCCAACTGGAATCATTATGTACCCTGTGGGGAGGGTATCTTCCTTTAACCACTGCTTTTGGCAGCTGTGTCACATGATGGAGGGCTCCCACCACACACCCTACAGATACCTCACTGGCTTTTCAGTACAGATGTGGTGTGGTAGAACAGGCTGGAGAGCTGTCATCACCAGTCTCTTGATGCAGTGAAGTAATCTGCATTGTAGCTTCAGGCAGAAAGTAGAGGAGAAAGAAGAGACATTTCTCCACTGTTCAGGGTAAGTGGGGCACTGTTCTGTGTCCTCAGGATGGGAACTCCTAGAGGGGAATTTATGTTCATACTTTTATCTTGGGAAGCTCAGTTACACTTAAAACTTTATGTAAATACAGGAGGGGGCAGTTTTTCACATATTTCTATTGACCTGAGCAACTCCCTCTTCCACTGGGCTTAACAGGTTTTACTTAATAACAGTGCAGAAACCTGTGGATATCCAGTCTCTTAAAGCACAAATGCAGTACAAGAACCCACCCCAAACTGGCACCGCAGATGGGGGGATTCAGATTTAATCTATCAAATCTCTGCCTGCTGCTGCCCCACTCCCCACTCGCTCACTCCCTAAAACCTGCATGCACATTGTGTCTCCACTGCCCCAGGCAGTTCCTCACACCTCCCCTGCTGCCAGCCCAACACTATGCATTCACCCCTCAGCTCCAAGGCTCCAAAATCACCTTAGTGTCACCTGGACATTTCTCCTGAGGGCTGAAAATGAGGGGAGCCTGCTGTGATGATTGCAATTTCTACTCCAGTTGATACAAGCCATAAAAGAATCACCACTTGCTCCACCTAACTCAACTGGGTAATGTTTCTAAGCAAAGATTCCTCCTCCCTATCCTACTGCAGGCTGAAGTGAACGAGCTGGTTCCCAGAGGAGAACAGGCGATGCTGTGCACTCTCCCCTGCTCTACCACAGGCTCACCTGAGAGCATTAGAGACGCTGATCTGTGAAATAAGACACCTATTGCTGAGCACCAAGAGGGAAGCAGCAAGGATTAATATAAGCCTCAAAATGTTATACAGCATTTAAGTAGCACTGTCACAGATCAAAGACTATCACTCATCTCAGGGAGGCAGGCTTGGTAAGCCTAGAAAGATCACGTACCGAAAACAAATGCAAGATGCAAGAGAAAGACTGCAGACAGGAGCTGAGGAAAGCTCAGACTTGCCTAGAGAAACTCAAGTGGCCTAAGACAGAGTCTAACATGTGTTCTTGGAGGAACGAAAGCCAGAAAGACTGCCTAGTTTCACTCAGTCTCAGTGGTGTCTTAGCACAAAAAAAACACATTTCATTTTAAGAGAAGGTACCTCTTACCTTGGAGGTACCTGCTGCTGGGAGCAGCTTAAATCCCAGTGCAAAACCCCGACCCTGTCGGATCACTGAAATAAGGAGCACACTGAGAACCATGTGCAAGTGGCAAACAGACTTGAAAAAGCCCCCAGTTTACACTGATGCCACAGGGACTGCAGAATCACACCCCCTGCACTCTAAAAGCTTTCATTCTTAAAGCCACGAGGATACTGCATGGAAGTTTGATGGCAGTATCACTTGCCCACACTTGCAGGCAGTGTGGGAGGCCTGATCTATAGTCTTTCAAGTCGTTCATATAACTATGTCATCTGGGAGGAGGCAGAAGAGAAGGAGACTTTTTAATACAAATCACTACAGTTGTAGTTGTAGTAGCACAGGAATAAAGATGCCTCACAATGGTATTCCTACTTCTAAGCTTTCCTAGTACAGCTCTCCCATTGAAAAGCACCTTTATTCTTACATGACTTTGGGCAAGACACTCCATTTCCATTTCTTTGGTACAATTAAAATGCTGCAGGAACTAGAAGTAGTAGGAGCCCCTCTTACACAGAGGTGTGGGGTTGAATCCAGTCTAGGTCAGACACTAGTGTCATCCACAGTACATGCACTGCATGAGGCCAAGTGACTCCTGGATACAGACCTCCAGGAGGAAAACCTGTTCCCCTGCAAACTCAGTCCCTCCCTAAACCAGGTCTGGATCCTTGCTCCTGCACCTCCCCTCACGACCTGGGGACTCCCTGCAGCACTGTATAAAATCATGGTGCCTAACAAAAAGAAGTCCTCAAGCAAACTCTGGCTGATTGAATTTTGAAGGTAAGGAATGCCCTTCTGCAAGAGATGTACAACCCCCTCTGCCCACCCCAAACACCAGATCCATCACGGAGAAGGGAAATATTTACACAAGTTAGTAGAGTTCCAGTTAAATATTATGCTTAGCTGTCTAGAGTCCATGTTCTCAGACTATGTCTACGAAATAAAAGATTAAACTTCATAACAATTATGAAGTTGCTCTGCTCACATTCAAAGGGAGTTAAAGGACATTAAAATAGTTCTTTGGGTAATATTCCAGTGAAATTGCTCTTTCCCCCTGGAGAGTTACAGCTAAAACCTTCTGAACTATCCTGTAAACACACTTGAAAAGGCTAAGAGCTGAGCTGATAACCAGGTAGCACCTCTGCTCTGCAGGTTCTGTAAAAAATGTGAGCAATGCTGGAGAGCTTTTGAAGCAGTGAGGGAAGGAGGATAGGGGAGAGCAGCTTCTCTTCTCAAGGGAAGTTTGTTTAGTGGAAAGTAAGCAAGTTGTCAGGGGAAAAGCTGACAATGTTGATTCCAGCAGTTGTACTGGGAATAAACAGCCAAGTGGATTACGTTACAGAGAATGAGAAACGGCTCTCCCATTTAAATGCTGGTCTTTCAGGAATGATGTGATTCAGCCACACTCATGGCCCTGATGCCCACTGGCCCTCTGGGCTGAGCCCTCTGCCAGCCCTGGTATCTCCATCCCACCTCTGGGGTCCCGGAGGGGTCCAGCACAACCAGTGTCCCCAGGAGAGCCAGAACTCACTGCTGCACTGGCAAGCACACAGACCCATGCTAGCTTCTAGGCAGAGAATGGACATTGAATTAGAGACAGCAGCAGAGGCGGGGGAAGTTGCACAGGACCCACTTGCCTCTCCCAGGCCAGCAGCAGGGGAGGGCCACCATGGGGCTTGCCATCTCCTCCCCAGCCAGAGCACAGGGCCCTCCCTCTCATAAAAATCAGATGCCTCCCTGTCTTTCACAGGAAAGGGACCCAGCAAGAGGAGAAAGAGATCTTGTTTGATTTATTAGTCTCTTCCTCCTTGCCATAGTCTGTGGCTCATCCAGCTGTAGTGATAAGGAGAACAGCTATGAAAGGACACTGCTGGCTGCTGGGATCCCATCCTTCTGCCTGCTCACTGCCTGAAGACTTCAGTCCTTTACAAGCACCACGAAATGTGTATCCAAAATGTGGCAGTCTCCTCCACCCTTTGAGATTCTGCTCCCTGGATAATACAAACAGTTGCCAGAAAAAGAGTATCCTCTCATCTCTGTCTGGGCCATTATCCCTTTATATTTGCTCTTTAATATTTACTGGGTTCACACAAAGTGCATGCTCTGGAAAGAAAAAAAAAGTCAGCTGCAGCTTAAAGGACTCCAAATTTAGTAATTGCTGCAGCCCCATCGACGTGAACTGTTAGCAGGGAGATTTCTCTAGCACTTCACGTGCCGTGGTATTTTGCTTAGGTCAGACTGTAGAAAACGTTCTGTCCAGGGGCACCAAATCTGGAGTGTCTGTGTAGGTGCCAGCTGCAGAGGCCTTATGAGTCCACCACCAGTTCCTGCAGATCCTTTCCCTCCCAGCACCCAGTAACCTTGGTAGGAAACAGAGGCAGCCAGAGAGATGCTGATTCATACAGAGGTGAAGCATCCAAGGGTTTTAACACATCTGTGAGTTAGCAAGAACTAGCCCCAGCTCCTGGTTCCAGAGCTGGTCTTGCAGCCTTACCTGTTAATGTGAGGTTGCTGTATGTGTTTGAAAACTGCTCCTTTAACAAAACCAAGTGCATCTGAGCTGCCTTTTCCCTCTGTAGCTCCAACATTATGTCAGGATGCTGGGCGATCTTACAGCCTTTCTGCTTATCCAGGGCAATGTCACTGCGAACAATGTCTACAGCAAAAGGGAAAGAAAAAAGGGAGATGGCCAAACCTCAGCTTTCATTTTCACCAGATGCTTGGATCAGCACCAGCCAACATGACAGCCACACAACCATCCCTCAGCACAAGCAACCACCTATCCAATGAACCCTCTCTGCTCAAGTATCCTTTTCTCCCACAGAAAATTCAAGTCATTGACTTCAATATGCTCACACAACCTACTGCCCCTTCCATCCTTCACCTGCCTAGCAGCTGATAGCCTACAATGGTGACCCCTCCCTTGCAGGAAAGTGCAAAAGTCTCCCAACCTTTATATTACAACACTATTACCAGTCTGTTTGACACTAAATAATGAGAAAAGACTAAATCCCATTCTGGTGACCCCTGGCTTCCATTTACCCTTGCCTGTCAAGAGGTGATGAAGAAGGCTTGTTCTCACTTTGTTTATCCTCACTGCAGCTATCACAGTTAGAGTTAGGTCAGCATGGCTTATGACTCTTTGAACAGGTCTCTGTACCATTCTAACTCCTGACATTCAATTCAGGAGGACTCTTTAACAATTGTTTTCTCTTCATATGAGCATTTTATAAATCATATTGTGAAATAAGAATATGATAGTCCTTCTTCTAGAACTACTCACCTGCTGGGGAAATGGAAAGATGGGGGCAGCAGGGCAGAACAAGAATCAAGTAAAATATGTCCAGTCTAAACAGGAGGGGAGTGGTGCAAACTAGTCCTTGTAAGGTCCCTTTCTGAGTTTAATAAACTCTGCAACATGCTCAGGTCCAGAGGCACCATATGCTGTGTCTAATTCTTACAAAACCTTAGGCAGCCAGCACTGATAAGGATGGATGGAAGTTGGAGTTCTTCCACCACATTGCATGAGGTCATCCTTTGCATCACGAGGCTGCACTTTACTTGGTTTAATCCCTATCTAGCTAGAAGTTTCTGAAGGAGCTTATTGTCAGAAGAGAGTCATGTCCTGCTCCACATACTCTCTGCAGATTGGTTCAATTCCCATGTAACTAGAAGTTGCTGAATGAGCTTATTGTCAGAAGAGTCACATCTTGCTCCACATACACTCTCCAGCTCCATTATTGTTACACACATCAAGGAACACAAAAGATGTTTCCAATGCTCCTGTCTTTCAAGGTGTCAAATCTCAGGTTCAACAAACTTGGGTTCAAAGCTCTGCTATGTCTTGGGCTGGCAGGGAACCCCCTCCAAAGGTGGGTGGAGGACTGGAAGCCACACTATCTTCCTGTCTCTGAGTCTCATCCTCAAGTCACTACAGTTGTCTTGCCCAGGCTGTGCTCTGTCTGTCTCTTTACTGCATAGTTTGTGATTAACACGGCTTCTCTAAAGCCTGCCTAAAAGAGACTGCTCAGAACAGACAGGTCATTAAAGCACCTGTTGTCTGTAGTTAGGGACAACCTCTTAGGTAGACACTGAGTAAGATTTGGGTCTACCCAGGCTCTGTCCAACTAATGAATGACACAATCCTCTGTTGTGCAAGATATGTGGAGAACTGAAGACTGAGAAACACAACCTTATCACTCTCCCACACCAGAAAGTCTATTACTACAGCTACTAGTGGCACCTGGAGCTCATGAGTAGTCATTCACCTTTCTGGATGATTGATTTCCTTTTCTACAGAACTGAATGCAACAGTTATACAACCCCCACCCCCCAAGGCAAAATGGAGCAAAACACATCAAGGAGGGCCTGAAGGAGGAGAAAACTGAGAGGCAGAGAGGTTTGAAACTAGGTGGTCAATACACTGTCTCAAATTCTCTTCAAACTGGTACAAGGGAGTTAAGTCTGGGTCAAAACAAGTTTGTTTCCTAAAAGAGATGGAGGGCTCCTAAAACCCAAACCAGGGCCAGCATGGAGCCATGCGGAGGAACCACTGACTAATGTGGACCAAGGTCCCTCCCCTCCCAGTCAGGGTCCAGGACAGCATCTTGAAGAGTACAAGGCGACATGGCAGCAGGTCCTGTGAGACACTCCTACCTCCATCTTCAGGGACCACAGGTCACAGCAAACACAAGGCTGGGCAAGGGATGGCCTTGTGGGCACTGTCAACAGGATCTGGGGACAAAAGGAAGGCAGCATTTGGAGTCCTGTGTTTAGGTGAGGGAGCTGCTGTGGCAGGGATTAGCACAAGGAAGTCAAGTCACATTCAAAGAAATCCCTGGGAGAATCTGGGAGAAGGTGTGAGAGCACAGATAGTGAGTGCACTCTCTGGCAGTCATCTCCATGGGATTCTCAGAACTGCCACTGCAGACATTCAGGAAGCAGAGGCAAGACATGCAAGGTCCTGGCTTCTCAGATTGATGAAGGACACAAGAAACTTGTCCAAGACCTAAAAATGGAGGTGGACCTCACATTCATTATAGCTCCATCTTAAACAGTGGGCAGATACCTGGGATACGGAGCTCTCCAAACTACTCAGTGTCCGGTAATCCAGACCTCGCCAGCTGTACTCAGTGTAGAGGAGTGGCCTCTGTGCCAATCTTCTGAACCATCAGCACTGAGGGAAGAGGGGTAGCAAACCACAGCTTCTGGAGGCTCAGGGGAAATCTCAGCAAGTGCAACTTAGGACAAGCAGCCCTGAAATCTTAAAGAATGAGATAGAAAAAAGAAAGATGCAAAGAGAGCAAGGAGGAGGGTACCCCAGGAGGTGCTGGACAAGGCAGCCCCTGAGCAGGAGCTCCAGGAGAAGCACAAATACAGGCTGAGTGGGTTGAGAGCAGCCCTGCAGAGAAGGACTTGGGGATATTGGTGGATGAAAACTGACTATGAGCCAGCAACAATGTGCACTTGCAGCCCAGAAAGCCAACCATGTCCTGGGCTGTGTCAAGAGAAGTGTGGCCAGCGGGTCAAGGGAGGTGATTCCTTCTACTTCGCTCTTGGGAAACCCCACCTGCAGTGCTGTGTCCAGCTCTGGGGCACTCAACATAAGGAGGACACAAACCTGTTGGAGGGAGTCCAGAGGAGGCCACAAAGATGATCAAGGGCTGGAGCACTTCCCTTATGAGGGCAGGCTGAGAGAGTTGGGGTTATTCAGCCTGGAGAAGAGAAGGCTCCACAGAGACCTTATAGCGGCCTTCCAGTACTTAAAAGGGGCTACGGGAAAGATGGGGAGGGACTCTTTATCAGAGAGTGTAGGGATAGGATGAAGCACAGCAGTTTTAAACTGAAAGGGGGAAGATTTAAACTAGACATAAAGAAGACATTCTTCACTGTGAGGCTGGTGAGACACTGGCACAGGTTGCCCAGAGGGGCTGTGGCTGCCCCCTCCCTGGCAGTGTTCAAGGCCAGGTTGGACGGGGCTTGGAGCAACCTGGGCTAGTGGGAGGTGTCCCTGCCCAGGGCAGGGGGCTGGAATGAGGTGATCTTTAAGGTCCCTTCCAACCCAAACCATTCTCTGACTCTATTCTGTGACACTCACTACCTTCCCGAACGACGATTTTAAAAAAACAGACACAAACCGCCCAGCAAAACGCGAACCCCAGCAGCTCTCGCCAGAAGTGCGAAAGAGGAACTCCAGATGTGGGAGCCCCAGAGGATGCCAAATGGTTTCCGAAGGCGGCAGCCCGGGGCCGTGCCCGAGCGGGCCGGGCCGTGCCGGGTCAGTACCCTGGCCAGCTCAGGCTCCCG